CCGCTCCAGCCGCAGAAACTGTGTGTGTTGCTTAGCTCTGAGCTCTGCGTGGCCAAGCCTCGAGGCAGAGGGGGGCCGGCACCGCGCTCTCATCTCCTGCCCCCTCCCTGCCCCCAGCCCCTGCCTCTTCGCAGATCTGCTGGACGAGAACTGCCTCGTGATGGTGGAGCGGCCCATCATGGACATCAAGACCCAGCTGCCGCTGCCCATCCAACAGAAGAAGTTTGGCACCTGAGAGCAGAACAAGCCGCTCCAGCCGCAGAAACTGTGTGTGTTGCTTTCCTAGGGTGCTGTAGGAATAAACCCCGCTGTTCCGTACAGCTGCGGGCTCGGGGCTCGTCCTTGCCCTGCGGGGCTCCCTGGTGTGGGAGCAGCGGGTCAGGTTTGGCCCTGGCCTGAGCGTGAGGACGCGGCCACCTCGTGGGGCTCCCCTGCCTGTGCCGGTCCTCCTCCCAGGGCTGCCGGGGACGAGGTGGCTCCCCTGCCTGTGCCGGTCCTCCTCCCGGGGCTGCCGGGGACGAGGCGGCACCCTGGATCTCCTGCCTTCTCGCTGGCTGCTCTGCTGGGCAGCGTCGGGTCCCAGTGGTGGCTTCTCTCTCCCCGTGCCGGCCAGCAGCCGGGTGGGTTGGCGAGTGCTGGGGCGCTGCCTGGGGCAGGGGACTCCCCTCCCCTAGCGAGCTGGGCTCTGGACAGACAGACAGAACGGCGATTGCCGGTGCTCGGCACCCATACGCAGCGCTCCCAGCTGGGCGAGCGGCCTCTGCCCCTGCTTCCGTGCCTCAGGAGAGGGAGAGGTGCCGGCTCATTGAGCCGGAGCTCGCAGCTGCGTGCTGGTGGGATTGGGGTGTAGCGGGGCCCCTCTGCCAAACAGCCCCCCTCGGCACGTGCAGCTCTGCGGTGGCTGTTAGCTGGAAAGCCCGGGCACCTTCTCCTCCAGCCCTTCCGGTAACACCGGTACCCCGTTGCCAGTTTGCGCTCGTACTCTCCCCGACAGGACCGAGCCGGGCCGGTTAGCCCTGAAGGCTGGCAGCGCCAGCAGGGC